AGAGCGACAGCAAACCAGATTTTTTAACATTTATTTGTGTCCTGGCAAATTTCAATATCACAAGGACCATAACTCCTGAATGGTCAAAGTGATAATCATCAATATTGAACTTGGCCTCCATTTTGTCATCACTAGCAACATATTAAAATTTGAAAAGCTTTGGTTAAACAGTTCATGAGTTTAAGCACGGTCACGACTGGAAAGACTATTTTTCAATCTTTCAAGAACCATAACTCCTGAACGGTGAAAGTGAAAATTGTCAATATTGAACTTGACCTCCATTTTGTCATCAGTAACAACATATTAAAACTTGAATAGCTTTGGTTGAACGGTTCATGAGTAAATGCACAGACACTGTTGGCAGCCACCCATCTGCCAGCTGTACATCCCCAAATCAATAACCAATTTTTCCTTCCGAAATCCGTTTAAAAATTCAAAATCACCTGTTTCATCTTAAATATATTCTAAATAACTAATAAATTGATTCAGACGTTGCAGAAATAAAGGTGGAAAACTGATATTTAAAAGCATTTTTTGGTATCCTAGGCTTTCAACTTTAGCAAAAATCACTCAACTCAAAAGAAACTAAAACTTGTTTTGTAACTTCGTCATGTTTGTAAGAGATTCAATGTTGTTTTGTTTTCATTATTTTTTATAGTGTTTATTTTTTGGTGTCTTAAAGGGGCATTAGCTATGAATTAGACAAAAATTTAGAATACAATTCTTTTTGTTTCAAGAATTAATAAAGGTGGAATTTTGAAATAATATTTTGTTATAAGCAGTCAGTTTGGCCCAAAGGAGTAGGGCCACGAAGGGTCAAAAACAGCCCTGTCTCAGAAATTGACGAAATTGCTGCAGAATGATCACTAACTAGGGTAGTTTATAAAATGATAACCATTTTACTTGTAACTGTCTTTGTATAATTTTCCAGAGCGTCAGAAAAGAACATGGTAAAATCCTATTTTAACAATTTGCGCGTAACGTCAAAATTGTTTTTCTTAACATTCTTATACTAATATAATCATTTTACCACAAAAATTATTTTACAAAGTATTTCTTGAATCTCGTACATATCTCTTGTTCTTTTTATATATATTAACAGAAACTTACTCAAATACAGATTAAAGTTGCAAACAAGCGCTTCAATTACATTATGTATAATTGCCCCGAAAACTCGTTTTCTGCATTGATATTCACGAAATAGAAATTGCAGACAAACAAAATTCTATAGCATAGATTAAATTCAAAGTCATAAATGATTTTCAAACATATTAAAGCATAATAGTCTTCTATTTGGCAGAAGGAATTTTGATTGAAAGCTGTAAAATATCTTTGCGAGCGGAGTACAGTCGATGAAAATCTTTAAATTATTTTACGATAGTTGTCTCATTGGCAATCATGCCATGTCATCTCTTACATTAATATGAAAAGAAAACCCATGATTTCGATGAAACACAGAAAAGTTTATTTGCTGGTAAAAAAATGAAGAATGAAAACAATTCGTATAGACAATACATATAATCCATATATACTAATCATATAACACATAATATACAAATGTACCACACGTGCACTCATTAGCACTACGCTTTCTGAAGGATTACCTGCCTACTCTCAAATCAGCATTCAGAATAAAAATTTGTATGAACGATAGTTTCATTTAATACTGCCATTTATACACCACCGACCACACACACAGATATATATATAGTATTGTACTATCTCTAATTGTACCTAAAGCACGTGAAAATATGTATTCAACTCCAAAATTAATAGGAATTTACTTAAATTGTTCAGTGGATCCTTTTCATGTTTTTCCCAGACTTTTTTTTACTAGTAATTGTTTAAAAGCTAAAAAAAATTAAGTGTCAAAATGCTCACTCTCAGTTGTCAAATGTGGACAAATTCATTTATGGATTTAGCTAAATACAATTAAATCTTTTTGCTTGTTTTAATAATTACGTGTTGAAAGAACAAACACTTTTGTTATTTATTTATTAGTGTTTTCATAATTGTCATTTTTTCTTTCTTAGTTTTCTTCTTATTACATGTATTACCTTACATGAAAGTGGACAAATGTCCCTGTAATACAACAGCTATTTCTATCTTGAAAAGTGCGAGTGTACTTTGTTTTTATATATATCATTTGGTCAAATTAAAAAGAATCATGGCCCAATAAGAAGATTTGATATAATTGCCAAGAAACTAATAGAATATAAGTCTTCTTATGTAATTAACTATAGTGTTGATTATAAGGATATAACTTATATTAACGTATATGTAAGCTGTGTCCATTTAAGTAATGTATTATTCAAAATTATAAAGAACTACTATTTATAACAGGCTATTATTTGAACTTGGAATTATTTTTAATTATGAAATTTATATAATTTCTTGTGTTTGAGATTTTTAATAAATTTTATGCTTATTCTGTATTTTAATGTTCTGTGCGGCGCACAACACTTTTTATTACAAAGAATATAGCACATTTTCAATAGAATGTACTGTGCCGCGCAAAACACTATCTATACAAAATACATTGTATGGAAAGTGTTATGCGCCACTCAAAACATTATAATACAGAATAAACATGGAATTCATTAAAAATTTCAAGCACAAGAAATTATGCAAATTCCATAATTAAAAATAATTCCAAGTTCAAATAATAGCCTGTTTTATATACAAAATCAATTATTTTTGTCTATATTTTTGTTTCCTTTAAAGTTATATAAAATGTTAACTATGTCTCATGAATGTGTTATATTCAACAATAAAATGCTTCAAAACTTTTTAAAAAGTTTGCTTAGTTGAAGAAAAAAAACATTACAATATATTCAAATAGCTTTCAGCATGTTCAAATAGATGAACAAGATGAATACTGAGATAAAAGTCAATGAGACAGAGACCTAACAAGGATTAATGCAATATTCTATTCTTCAACGACACTCTGCTCACTGTCACTTTCGTCTATGGCATGTGAGATTAATGCTGCATCTTCAAGAGAAGCTCCCCTGGACTCCATATGAGATGTCCCGATTATGTCTAGCATACTCAAGATACCAGAGTATAGAGGCAATGTGCGCACATACTCCTACTACACGTGCTCCTGCTCTGCATTTACAGTACCATGCGGTAATTTCAGCAGAAGTGTATTCTATCCACAAGATGTAGGATTTTGAATAAACATGACGGCTCTGCAGTTTCACAAGTATTAAATGTTCATCCTCTTGATGAACGAGAATTTGACAGTTTCCCTCTAAGTGCTCTTGAATATAGCTAGTGCTCAGTTTTATTTGATACACTCCGCACGTTATATTTCTTAGATCTTCTTCATCAAGACGTGGTAAATCATCCAAAGTATTATCTGGCTCTTTCCATATAGTTTTCTGCCTTTCCAAATTTTCTTCTTCCACCCTCTGTTTCAGTGTGTTAACTTTTTTCGACAGATGTAGCATTTTAGCAGCCAATGCTTCTTCATTATCACATCCTTTTTAAATAAGAAAATTTCAATTATAATACTAGTAATAGTGTCACTAATTTTTTAATCAAATATAAAATAGAAGATGTGGAGTGATCGCCAATAAGACAACTATTTACAAGAGACCAAATGACACAGAAATTAACAACTCTTAGTCACCGTACGGCCTTCAACAATGAGCAGAGCTCAGATCGCATAGTCAGCTATAAAAAGCCCAGAAATGACAAATGTAAAACAATTCAAACGAGAAAACAAACAGCCTAATTAATGTACAAGAAATGAACGAAAAACAAATATTTAACACAGAAACAAAGGACAACCACTGAATTACAGGCTCTTGACTTGGGACAGGCACATACATACAGAATGTGGCAGGGTTAAACATGTTAGCGGGATTCCAACCCTGCCCTAACCTGGGACAGTGGTGTTATAGTGCAACATAAGAACAAACTATAAAAATCAGTTGAAAAAGGCTTAACTCATCAGATGGATACAAATAGAAATACATCTAACAAAAGCACAGAGTGGACGTGGCCGGGTACTTGTACATTCCAACAACAAAAAGACACTAAATATACAGATCTGAGAGTACTCGCAGTTACTGATAGCTTGTTTAAAGCCACTAACAACTAATTAAAAAATCATTCTAAGACTAAAATAAAACTCAAAACACAAATACCTCAATTGAATATAAATGAAGATACAGAAGAACAATTAGATGATATTATCATGTGGTAGAATTTATCATTTGCTTTATAGGTTTTTTTTTAAATATTGCTTGTTTGCTTGATATGCTTTCTATGGAATAGTTAGGGACTTTTCGATAGGAAAAGTGATTAATACTTTTTAGAGAAGGGTTTTTTTTTAGTACATTTTCTTAAAAATACATAACTTTTTTTGAACTGAGAGGAAAATGACGTCTCACACTGTGTGAATTTCCTAATTAAAAAACTTTTTAAAAAATATTGCAATTTCGTTTTAATTACTATTTATGATTTGTTTTGCTGTTCATTAAACTGTTACCCCCTTATATGTGTACTTATCACAGTAACCCATACCCAACCAAACCTTTAAACTACATCTATTAGGAAAATAGCTCTAAACATAAGGTCATGTTTGAATTCATAATTGGTTGCAATTAAAACTCTGTATGTCTATGTTAATTATGTTATATACATTGTCATTTTTGCGAACAGTAACAGCAATACGTGTGCCTAATATAAAACATTTATGCTACTTTTTTTTGTTGTTATTGGTTTGTTTAATTGATGTATATAGGAAAAATCCTTTTCATAGGGGAAAACAAAAATTACGCAGTCCTATAAGTGACTTTTCTTTATTTTTATTAGTGGCACAATATTCATAGTTATAACAGTAACTATGTGCACATGTAAGTTGGGTGTGCTTCGTACGAATAAGAACATTTTCTGTGGAGCAATAAAAATATCTTAACTGAATGATGATACTAAAGCGACGCAGTTTCAAATTTTGTTTTGTAAACTGTAATGTCTTAAAACAGTATTTAGGCTCTAGGGGTACAAACCTTAGTAACTAATCTGCTTGCATTGGCTTCATCTGTTGTCATCTGTTTTTGGCCTTTCGTTAAAAAGCTTGGCATCTGTGCCTTTATCCCTAAATCATCAAGAAGCTCCAATGAGTCCCTGAAACCTCTGTCAACTACAAATATATCATTGTCTTGTACCCATTCTTTGATATCTTCTACATTTGTGTTAAACATATGTTTGAGGATTGCCGCATCATTATTTTTGGAGTCGGCCAAGTATGGTCCCAGAACAGTCACAAAGTATCCTGTAGTAGTAACAACTATCATTGGTTTAACAAGAGGTCGTCCCTTGTGTAAACTATATGACCGTTTTTGAAAATGAAAATTTCCGCTTTTCTGAATATAGATGTAGGTGCCATCAAGCACTAATATAGCCTGTGTGTTTGTTCCGTCCCCAAATAAAGTCTGAGCTAGTGGTCTTGTGTGCCAATTAATGACATCATCATGGCTAATGTGTTTAAAACCCAAATTTTCAGGTACGAAATTTTTTACTAAAGCTTGTCTGACACATGAAATGGCTTGGCGTAAACTTGATCTTGATATGTTGAAAATGGTAGATAGCACTTTATTTGAAATTCCAGATTTTAATTTAAAAAGGAAAATTCCAAGAGAGGTTCTGGTGCTTCGTGTAGGTGTATTTCTTACTAAATTTTTGATGTAGGAATGAAGATCATTAAAATTGTCCTTATTTATTTCGGTTAAATTAATAAAGTCAGAGTCAGATATCACTTTATCTGTATCAAAGTCAATTCTTGATTGTTCATTTTGTATGGCTGTGGATCTTAACTTCTTCAAAAGATCTATGATTGAAGATCTGTTTAGGATGACATTATCATTTGTACAGTTCATTTTACTAATTGCATCTTCTGTAAAATTATCTTCCGTCAAATGTCCCGGACAACAGCGACATCCTGCAGGAATTATAACCTCTTTTTTAAGAAAAGTAGAAAATCTTGCTTGCGATGGAACAACAATTAGCTTTGGACCAGGCTTTTTGCATATGAAACAGTATGAATGGCTTTTTGATGTTGAAGGTATTGAAAGAGATACTGATGGTGGACTGGATAATACAGTAGATCTACGTTTTGCTGGTGGAACATAATCTTCATCGTCAGATAATATATGTTGTACAACAGAGGAATGTCTGGTTTCCTGAACATAGTATTTGTTTCTACAAGTATTGCATATTTTATCTTCTTGTTTTGGTGTTATTAAAAAATTCTTATTCAAATACTTTGCTACAGATTTATTGATTGATCTTCTTTCATGTGGTTTAGTCCTTTTATTGCATAGAACGCAAGGGTAATACTTTGGACTGCTTCCAGGCATTCTGAAGTGAAATAAAGCAATGAATCTTAATACACGAACCACTAATGCAGTCCAGAACAGGAGATTTGATGCATGTGATAATGAACAGCAGCCCAACAATATAAAACAGAGCAACAAATAATACATCTTATTTTTAATTATTGTGTATAAAACCATGTGTTCAGGAATGGAACTTGAACAGACTATGTGTAATAAAATATTTAGTTTCCAGTCCTAACTCACTGACCACTACACTACAAACAGTATGTTTTAGATTATATCATATTTGATAATTATATAGGTGGACTGAATATGCAGGTATCTTAACTTGTTTTATTTCTATAACACATCAGAAAGGCAAATTCTATATAAAAAATAATTTGCTGAATAACACTTTCTTCAAATGCCAAATAGAAACGTTTCAAAATTATGTTATCAATTAATCAGTAAATCTAGAAAAAAAATATCGATGGATCTATTCAAACATTGCAATCACAGGAATGAAAGTAAGCATATGTTACATTAGGTTTTATGATATTATACAAAAAAAATAATTTAAAAAAAAACTTTAAAAAAAAAATGTGGGTGGCGAACCCACTCTGTCACTAACATGGCATTCTCAAGCCTAACGCGCTAACCACTACACCACGTCGTCATACATTCTAAGACAAGTAAACAAGTGGTATATAAAGTTATAGAATGGAACTTCTGAAGCTAGTCGTCTGCATTTGTTTGAATTTTTGTTTTTTTGTTTTTAACATGTGTAAAGATTTATTACTGCTTTTCGCGTGCTTAATAGTGATGTTTTAAAAGACGGTTTTCGTAAAAAAAAATTCGTCTTTAATTAAAAGCTGCCCTTTTTTTTTTCATAGCAAATGCCAAAACCGACCTGGGTTAATAATAACATTACAAAATCCTTTTTATGTGTTATAACGTTGAAATTAACTCTAAAATAATTTATCAATTAATAGTTATTTTTATTTTCAACCAATTTGTCATGTGTTTCAATAAAAACCGTTGTAAGCACGGAAAAAAACTCTGTCAGCAGTTGACGAAGCTACGGAAAATACATAGACTTTTTATTCTAATTTTTGTTTCTTTTTTCATCTGTAAATTAATTTTGACTTACCTCAATACGTATTCCTCAAGAAAAGCATACTTCAGTTGCAAGTAAAAGATTCACATAATGGTCAACAGTATATATGTCAGAGAAAATAAAAATTACCGAATATGTCACCGTTGCAAAACCTGTAAATCCATATTTCTGTTGGGAAGTGTAACAAACATGCGCAATGTAATTCCAATACACACAAAAAAAAACAACAGAAATATAATTAAATTTGTTCAAAATATTATAAAAAAAAGATGAAATGTAGAAATTGTTTCTATTCTAATATAAGTTCGTGGTAGATTCATCAGACATTTCGCCACAGAATCTATCATACCTCGGGAATGACATTGTCGAATCCGGATTCGCTTGTTAGCAAAAGTTTATTTTTCGATGTGGCCACAGGCCTCGACCACGCTAAAAATTGTTGCAAACGATGTCAAAGTGTCAAACAATTAAAATGAGATTTGAATTACTTTGGTCGAGGCCTGTGGCCAATGCGAAATTTAACCAGGAAGTGTGAAATTCTTCCAGAATTTTGATATTTTGAGCGTTCCGGTTCGACTTCGGGTGTTACGTCACATTAATGATGTCATGAAAATATGATTTTATAACAAAATAACAAACAACGATATAGGTAGATATGTTTTAGCTATAAAGGATCCACCTTGTTTATAATTTATTTTTTGTCATTTCACAGGGCCAATATAGGCACTTCGTGGCCATACTCCTTTGTCAAAATAAGCTTAAAAACAAAGATGATGAATTATTGACTTGCAAGTCAATTATTTAACTTCATTGAGTCCGTATTCATGTGACATTCAATTCAACCCCTTAGCTAGAGATGGGTTACACATGTACTAAGTGTGTTTAGCTACTAAAAGGAAAAAAATGTCAACTTTGAAAGTCAAACAAGGGTGAACAATTTGGTTGACTGATAAAATCCACAAAAAATCATTCTTAAACTGGTAAAAACGATAACTAACTTCTAAGCTAAGATATGATATCAAATAGAATAATCCAATTGCACATGTTCCCTATCTTTTTACATATATACTTATGTTTATATCGAGTATAATTATGACCGTTGGCAGCCTTTAGAGGTCATCTTGATGGTTAGTTTGATGACGTCTAGACTAAAATACACAAAAAATGCTGATACATATTATCAAGTCCATACACTGTTAACTGTTTATTTTATACTTTTGTAATTTAGATTTAAAAAAAAGTTTTAGTATGTTACAAATCAAATATGAGAATTTGAGTCAAATCAGTGACAGCTAATGCCCTTTAACTCATCATATATGTGTATCAATGTTTATAATTGTCCAAGTTTAAACACTGTGTGTTTACTTACCTGGTTTTTTTTTCCCAAAGAATTTGACCAGTTTACTTTGTTTCGTGTGTGTTTTTAATTCTTCAGGTGAAGGAGAACTTTTTATAAGATTACCAATACTTCTTAATGGCCTAGACAGACAAGCTCTTTTTCCTGTAACTGGTGGAGTGATCATCTACAAACGTAGAAAACTTTGTTTAGAGATTAAGTGACCAATACTTCTTAATGGTCTAGACAGACAAGCTCTTTTTCCTGTAACTGGTGGAGTGATCATCTACAAACGTAGAAAACTTTGTTTAGAGATTAAGTGACCAATACTTCTTAATGGCCTAGACAGACAAGCTCTTTTTCCTGTTACTGGTGGAGTGATTATCTACAAACGTAGAAAACTTTGTTTAGAGATTAAGTGACCAATACTTCTTAATGGCCTAGACAGACAAGCTCTTTTTCCTGTAACTGGTGGAGTGATTATCTACAAACGTAGAAAACTTTGTTTAGAGATTAAGTGACCAATACTTCTTAATGGCCTAGACAGACAAGCTCTTTTTCCTGTAACTGGTGGAGTGATCATCTACAAACGTAGAAAACTTTGTTTAGAGATTAAGTGACCAATACTTCTTAATGGCCTAGACAGACAAGCTCTTTTTCCTGTAACTGGTGGAGTGATTATCTACAAACGTAGAAAACTTTGTTTAGAGATTAAGTGACCAATACTTCTTAATGGCCTAGACAGACAAGCTCTTTTTCCTGTAACTGGTGGAGTGATCATCTACAAACGTAGAAAACTTTGTTTAGAGATTAAGTGACCAATACTTCTTAATGGCCTAGACAGACAAGCTCTTTTTCCTGTAACTGGTGGAGTGATCATCTACAAACGTAGAAAACTTTGTTTAGAGATTAAGTGACCAATACTTCTTAATGGCCTAGACAGACAAGCTCTTTTTCCTGTAACTGGTGGAGTGATCATCTACAAACGTAGAAAACTTTGTTTAGAGATTAAGTGACCAATACTTCTTAATGGCCTAGACAGACAAGCTCTTTTTCCTGTAACTGGTGGAGTGATCATCTACAAACGTAGAAAACTTTGTTTAGAGATTAAGTGACCAATACTTCTTAATGGTCTAGACAGACAAGCTCTTTTTCCTGTAACTGGTGGAGTGATCATCTACAAACGTAGAAAACTTTGTTTAGAGATTAAGTGACCAATACTTCTTAATGGCCTAGACAGACAAGCTCTTTTTCCTGTTACTGGTGGAGTGATTATCTACAAACGTAGAAAACTTTGTTTAGAGATTAAGTGACCAATACTTCTTAATGGCCTAGACAGACAAGCTCTTTTTCCTGTAACTGGTGGAGTGATTATCTACAAACGTAGAAAACTTTGTTTAGAGATTAAGTGACCAATACTTCTTAATGGCCTAGACAGACAAGCTCTTTTTCCTGTAACTGGTGGAGTGATCATCTACAAACGTAGAAAACTTTGTTTAGAGATTAAGTGACCAATACTTCTTAATGGCCTAGACAGACAAGCTCTTTTTCCTGTAACTGGTGGAGTGATTATCTACAAACGTAGAAAACTTTGTTTAGAGATTAAGTGACCAATACTTCTTAATGGCCTAGACAGACAAGCTCTTTTTCCTGTAACTGGTGGAGTGATCATCTACAAACGTAGAAAACTTTGTTAAGAGATTAAGTGACCAATACTTCTTAATGGCCTAGACAGACAAGCTCTTTTTCCTGTAACTGGTGGAGTGATCATCTACAAACGTAGAAAACTTTGTTTAGAGATTAAGTGACCAATACTTCTTAATGGCCTAGACAGACAAGCTCTTTTTCCTGTAACTGGTGGAGTGATCATCTACAAACGTAGAAAACTTTGTTTAGAGATTAAGTGACCAATACTTCTTAATGGCCTAGACAGACAAGCTCTTTTTCCTGTAACTGGTGGAGTGATCATCTACAAACGTAGAAAACTTTGTTTAGAGATTAAGTGACCAATACTTCTTAATGGCCTAGACAGACAAGCTCTTTTTCCTGTAACTGGTGGAGTGATCATCTACAAACGTAGAAAACTTTGTTTAGAGATTAAGTGACCAATACTTCTTAATGGCCTAGACAGACAAGCTCTTTTTCCTGTAACTGGTGGAGTGATCATCTACAAACGTAGAAAACTTTGTTTAGAGATTAAGTGACCAATACTTCTTAATGGCCTAGACAGACAAGCTCTTTTTCCTGTAACTGGTGGAGTGATCATCTACAAACGTAGAAAACTTTGTTTAGAGATTAAGTGACCAATACTTCTTAATGGCCTAGACAGACAAGCTCTTTTTCCTGTAACTGGTGGAGTGATCATCTACAAACGTAGAAAACTTTGTTTAGAGATTAAGTGACCAATACTTCTTAATGGCCTAGACAGACAAGCTCTTTTTCCTGTAACTGGTGGAGTGATCATCTACAAACGTAGAAAACTTTGTTTAGAGATTAAGTGACCAATACTTCTTAATGGCCTAGACAGACAAGCTCTTTTTCCTGTAACTGGTGGAGTGATCATCTACAAACGTAGAAAACTTTGTTTAGAGATTAAGTGACCAATACTTCTTAATGGCCTAGACAGACAAGCTCTTTTTCCTGTAACTGGTGGAGTGATCATCTACAAACGTAGAAAACTTTGTTTAGAGATTAAGTGACCAATACTTCTTAATGGCCTAGACAGACAAGCTCTTTTTCCTGTAACTGGTGGAGTGATTATCTACAAACGTAGAAAACTTTGTTTAGAGATTAAGTGACCAATACTTCTTAATGGCCTAGACAGACAAGCTCTTTTTCCTGTAACTGGTGGAGTGATTATCTACAAACGTAGAAAACTTTGTTTAGAGATTAAATGACCAATAATTTTTAATGGCCTAGACAGACAAGCTCTTTTTCCTGTAACTGGTGGAGTGATCATCTACAAACGTAGAAAACTTTGTTTAGAGATTAAGTGACCAATACTTCTCAAAGGTCTAGATAAGTAAGCTCTTCTTCTTGTAAATGATGGTGTGCCTGTCTATGAAAAAAACTGAAAAAAAAGTGTTGAGACCATATGACTAATACTTGTCAATGGCCTGGATTAGCAAGCTCTTCTTCCTGTAACTGGTGGCGTGCCTGTTTACAAATGTAGAAACTTTGTTTAAAGGTTAAATGACCAATACTTCTCAATGGCCTGGATAAGCAAGTTTTTTTTTCCTGTAACTGGTGGAGTGATTATCTACAAATGTAGAAAACTTTGTTTAGAGATTTAAAGACCAATACTTCTCAATGGTCTAGATAAGCAAACTCTTTTTCCTGTTACTGGTAGTGTGTCTATCTACAAATGAAGAAAACTTTGTTTAGAGATTAAAAGACCAATACTTCTCAATGATCTAGACAAGCAAGCTCTTCTTTATGTAAATGGTCCTGCGTATATCTTCAAATGTAGAAAATTTTGTTTAGAGATTAAATGACCAATAATTCTCAATTGCCTAGATAGAGCAAGCTCTTCCTCTTGTAAATGGTGGTGTGCTTGTCTAAGAAAAAAACTTTGTGTTGAGACCAAATAATCAATTCTTCTTAATGACCTGGATTGACAAGCTCTTCTCTTTGTACATCTATAGTAATGAGACGGTACATAAATGGGAGACATCCGTTTCATAAGAATGAGTGATAGTGTATTATACAGAGTAGAGAAAACATGACTGTCAATGGAGGCAAACTTACCTTAAGAGTAGCGAAATTTATCCAAGACTTCTAAAGAGTATATCACCCTTAAGAAATGGTTAATACATCTTTTGACATATAAGCATTATCACCTTTTTAGTAACAGGTTCTTCAACAGTTGTAAAAGCACAAGTCAAAATCACTGTGTAATTGAATGATGCAGATATCAAACAAAATTTATGAGATTCTTGAGCAATTTATATATATATATATATATATAAGCAGGTCTAAAAGGGTACAACATCACCAAAAAAAATAAAATCATGAACAAATGTTAAATATTTCGGATAACTAATATCCTTCATCAGTAAGATGTCAAATGGTTCTTATCTTGACATGTGGTAGTCACACTGTAATAGTGATCTTGATCGTTATACAAATTATCACGAATCAATACGCTGGTAAATTTTTTCAATATTGATGTTTGGGAGTATAAATTCCTTAAAACTGAAAGAGTCCTGTACCATGTGTACTGAAGCCTGAGTTACTGGAAACAAGTGATGGTAGGGACTCATTCTATGTTTTTTCATTAATGCCCTCTGGGGAAACTGTCCTTAACTTCCTTATCCAAAAACTTTACCGAGCAAGTATGTCGGCCCTTGACCAACCCTATATAGCAACACATAACAAACAAATCTATACGAGTGCAGATTAATCAGTACATTTTTTTTGTACACCATTTAATACATTTACACAAATGAAATTATAAATTGCCTAACAATGTACAATATACAAAACCAACAAAAACTGTCCCCTCACTATTATGAGCCACAAAAACTGTCCCCTCACTATTATGAGTCACAAAAACTGTCTCTTCACTATTATTTGTCACAAAAACTGTCCCCTCACTATTATGAGTCACAAGATATCTTTACTCAAAGAAACATCCTTTTGATAATGTTACTTTTCAATTTATAGAAGTGAACACGAGTGGGACACTACAGCGAGAAGGAAAAAGAGAAAACTTTTGGATCCACCAGCTCCATACTTTAGACCCTGATGGTCTAATTGTAAAAGACGAGAAAAGATAGAGGAAAGAAAAAGAATAATTTATTATGTAGCATCGTCCTTAATATCTCTGTAATATTGTCCAAAGTTACCTTACTTCAACAAATAGAAGATAATTCTATTTTTCTTCTAATATTTCCATCCTGAATGACAGCGGATGAAATATTATTATAAAATACTTTATAACCCAGTTAATAATAGATTCAACAATATTAAAAAATTGTAATACTGATAACAGAAAGTCCCAAGATAAAGAATCAAATACTTTTTCAAAGTCAATTAAAAGCAATAAACCTGGAATGTTATGTTCTTCTGTATACTGTAAAACACCATAAATCAATCTAATATTATCACCAATAAAACATCCACTGATGAAACCAGTCTGATCTAAATCAATACTAGCAATAACCCCTGAACCAAAATCTTGCCATCTTTTTTTTTATGTTTGGGTTCATCCATATGGACTGGGTTAGAACATCAGTATTGTTTTCAACTTTAATTATAAATAAGAAAATGTGGTATGAGTGCCAATGAGACAACTCTCCATCCAAGTCACAATGTATAAAAAGTTAACAATTATAGGTCAAAGTACAGCCTTCAACACGGAGCCTTGGCTCACACCGAACAGCAAGCTATAAAGGGCCCCAAAATGACTAGTGTAAAACAATTCAAACAGGAAAACCAACGGTCTAATCTATATAAAAGACGAGAAACGAGAAACACTTATGAACCACGCTAACAAACGACAACCACTGAACAACAGGCTCCTGACTCAGGACAGGTGCATAAAAATGCAGCGGGTTTAAACTTTTTAACAGGTGCCAACCTTCACCCTAACCTGAGACAGTAGTGTAACATTACAACATAAAAAAACACTATAAAATATCAATTGAAAGGCTTAACTTGATCAAAAAGACATTTAAACAAAAACAAGTAAACATACACTGAACTTATTTTGCAACACGGAAAATTTACCAGGATATCATGCCAAAAGGGATTACTTTCTTAGCTAAATAAAGTAATTCATCTGGACTTAAATGTAAAATTTTGTCTCCCCCAAAGTTTTGTATATAACTAAGCAGCAAATGTTTCTAAGGAGAGTAATTTTGTGGATCTCATAATTTATACAGCCAAGAAATTTTCACACTATAGCAAAAATAGTAAATATTAGGCATCTTAAGACCTCCATCAGTGTTCAGACATGACCACGGATCTCTTTTCCATTTAATTCAAGGATTTACCAGTGATAATTTCAAGAAGTTCTCAACTGGTTTGTAAGTAATTTTTCATCCTGTTCTTATTGGGTCTCAATTGAAAAGAAGAAATAAGCAATTTTTTTCAGGATGAAAGACAGTTTGAGTTCCTTGGTAATTTTCTGTATGAGCTAAGCCTACATTCCGCACTACTTTTTTGAAAATTGTTTTGTTATAAATTAGGTCATTTGTTTTCTCGTTTGAATTTTTTTCACATTTTTCATGCCTTTTATAGTTAACTTTATGATATGAGTTAATCTCATTTTTGAAGGTCATACAGTGGCCTATAATTGCTTACTACCATCTTCATTTTTAACTCTGGTGGATAGTTGTTTCATTGGCAATCATACCACATCTCCTCATATTTATATAACGCAAGAATAAAAAATAAATGGGAGTTGTTTCTCTAATCAAGATTTAATTAATTCATACGTTTATTTTTAAGTATGAGGGTTTAATGCTTCTATCATGTCTGTAATCTCTTTATTTTTTGAGACGTCTGAATAGGCTTTATAGGAAACGATTTAATGATAGCTAGCCTATTGTTATCATAAATCTTTCTCTTCAATCATTCAAACATAAGTCTCGATAGGCTTTATCGAAAAGGATTAAATGACAGCTAGCCTATCGTTATCATAAATATTTTTCTTCAAATATCAGTCTCAATCATGTCAATAGGCTTTAGAACAAAGGATTTAATGATAGCTAGCCTATTGTAATCATAAATATCACTCTTCAAACATTAGTCTCAATAGGCTATATAGCAAAGGATTTAATGAAAGCTAGCCTATAGTTATCATATATCCCTCTCTTCAAACATTCAAACATCAGTCTCTACTACATATTTGTATCATTTCACCAGGATCATCATTACCATAAAATCAATTAAAAGCAAATTGTAATTATAACAAGACTTTTAGGTCCAACTAAAAATTGAATTTGGGTGTATGGTACACTGTGTACCATGTCCCTGAATACATGATATACCGGTAACACTGTCATGACTGTAATGAATCTTCACATCACGTCTAGGGGTAATGTTATTTCAATTTCTAAAAAAATGACGTAGTATCAGAAGCATACAAAGTGAAATGCTTCCTTACACCGATTTGGAAATATTGTCATTCTATATACCTTTTTCTTGGTTCTAGTACACAACCATTCATCACATTTCTCAACTGTATTTACAGGATTGTGCTTCCCCATTGTCAAATCTACAAAAAAATATATTGTTCTAGATACATTTATATTGACTTCAACATGTTCAAGTCAGCCATGTAAGCTACAAGTTGTTCAGCTTCTTATGAATCTTTATGTTTGCAGAGTTCTTGAAAAGTTGTGGTCCACAGGACCACCAAGATTTTGCAATGGACCAACTCAATTGTGATATTTAGCAATAGAAATAATAGTGAGTACCAGCAGATTTTCTTCCAACATGTCCAAGGACCACCGGGAAAAAAAGATTATGAGAACTCTGTGTTTGAATAAACAAGAGGCTCATGAAAGCCTTATATCACTCACCTGTAATTTCAGTTTCAGGCATTTGACTTATTTGTAGATCTTACTTTGCTGAACAATTTTGTCATTTACACTTTCTCTCTTTCTATAATAATATTAAAGATAATACATAACCCAAAACTGTAAAATTTCCTAAAAATTAACTATTAATGGACAGAAACCCAACAATAAGTTGGTAGATCTAAACCTGTTTAACACTTTCACCTATGCCAGTTTTGCTCTTACTGCTTTAGTTTTTGAGATGAAAGCCAAAAACTTCATTTGACCCCTATGTTCTATTTTTAGAAACTGCAGTCATGTTTTTGAATGGATCGATCAAATCCCCAAATACAATCTATAAACTAGATACCCTAAGGAACATTCAAATAAAGTTTTAAAGTATTTGACCAAGTAGTTTCAGAGAAGAAGATTTTTGAAAAAGTAATTAGATTTTCACAAAAAATGTAAAAAAAATAACCTTTTTAAGGGTAATAATCCTTTAGGGGCCAATTGACTATTTTGATCATGTTGACTTATTTGTAGATCTTACTTAGCTGAACATTTATTGCCATTTATACTTTCTCTCTATCTATTATAATATTAAAGAAAATAACAGATAAATGTGGATAGTGTCCACATGTGGACACAGATGATGCCTCTGCTTGCATATCATTTAGTTATAAAGGGACATAACTGGAGAACGGTAAAAGTGATGCTACCCAAATTTGAACTTGATCTGAGTTTTTGGTAATAAGCATTGTGTGTAAGTCTCATAACATTAGGTTGAGGCTAATTTAACTTAAGTAGAGAACAGAAACTAAAAATTCAGCAATTTTTATTATTATTATTTTTTCTATTTGTAAACACGCATAACTCTAGATTGTGTATAAGTGTATAAGTTTTATAACATTTGGTTGAGACAACCTAAAGTTAGAGAAGGGAAACGAAAAATTCAGCAAGTTTATAAAGGCATTTTAGCCAAAGGGTCCATATGACAATGTATGAACCTTAAGTGGAGAAGGTGATGAAGATCTGAAACATTTTCTACTCAACTGTACCTTATTAGAAACAATACGACAGTTTACCTTTCAAAACAATTCAAATTCACTGAACTCAAACACTTGTGCTGTTTAGTTTACTGATTGCTGGTAAATTATCTTTTTGTCAAATAAATTATGTCACACACTTTAGTTCACCCATGTAACTTAGTTGGTAGGCCTGCTGAATTTTTGTATCTCTTATCACATTTCTTTTCGTCATCTATTTGCGTAATCGTCGACAACAAAACTATGCCTGTCTAGGTAAGTTTATATAATTGTTGAAAAACAGAGGGAAAAATAATAAATTCAGTGTTAATAAACTTCTTTTTATATAAAGCAAAATCACCATATAATAAACGTTACACCGACGGAGACAAAATTGAATATTATAACATCAAAAGTGGATTTGGGAACAGACCTGTTTAAGTTCAGCAATTACTTTGTGTTCAAAAAATTTAAGATCCATCTAAAACAATTTGGAAGTGTGGTAGAGTGAAATTTAGTATATTTTTGGTAATTGTAAATTTGTAATTTATTGGAATAAAATGATTTTCATACTATTGATAATATGAGGAAGGCGCTACCTTGAATGCCAGCTTACCAAGACTATGTCCTACATATTGATTGATTGTTGGTTTGCTTAACGTCCAGTGGCAAATATTTCATGCATGTTCAGGACGAATGTCCTACATATAGTTTTTGTCTAAAATAAAATAATAAGTTCAGATGGAAAATGTTAAGGGAACGATCATTGAACTTCCAAAGGCAGGATGGAGTATGTTTTTTTTCTTCAAAAATATTCTGATTCCCAAATTGATGAAAAAATATATTAATCAAGCAGATCGAGGACAAAAAAATATTCTGAATCCAGATTATTCCTAAACCTTCTAGTGTTAGTTTTTGACCAAATAATTTTGATTGATAGCGTTGTAGCCCTTTGCGTGAAACTCAAACAAAAATTTATACCCCCACGCGCCCTTTTGAAGCTAAATAGTTGCACCCTTATTGTCCATATTGTTTTCTGCTGAAAATAAATTTATTGTTGATTTATCTAAATGACAATGCACTTCTTGTTCCATTTTCAAATCCATTTTTCTTTCTTTGCAAATTTTACAAAATTTAAAACAATAAGACATTTGTTTAATTTCAAAACCATGAATACTGTTATACAATCCATAACTTTATTAAATTAATTTTTTGTTGATTTTCATGAAAAGGTGGAGGATTTGGAATATCTTTTTCATTAATATCTGAAAGTTGTAGCTGTTTTTTTTATTTAGTATTGCAAACAACGCTTCCTGTTTGTTGAACTATTTTTACTTTCTTAATTAGCTGGATGTTCATATTGTATTCCCAGTTTCCTGCATCTCATATATATGTGATCAGCAAGAGGATCATTCTGGTTGTTAAAAGAAGAGTTTGAATTTACAGTGAGCCTGTTTAGAATAATGTTTTGATCAGGTTTTTCATTTTGATCTAAGCATAAGGAACCATAAATAGGATTGTTAAGTTGATAATCTAACAAAGATTTTGCTATTTTCTAGGATGCTTTTTAAAATTTGAGGGGAGATCACTGCTCAGCAGTATAAATGTATTCCTGATCATCTTCTGTTTGTGGGTTTCTACATTAATTTCATGTACTAATTCAGAGTCAGTTTTATGTCATTTTTGCATTTTGTTTTATTAGCTTACTTTTCAAGTTTTTATACGACGGCAAAATAAAATTCCGAATGGAAATGGAAAATATGTCAAAAATTTGCTTTCGAGTAATGCAATCATGTCGCTGTTGTCCGAAGACACATTTGGTTTCCAGACAATAACTTTAGTTTAAGTAAATGGATATCTATGACAATGTATGAAATTGTACCAGAAGGTTCAACTTCAATACACAAAAGGAAGGTTAGAATTGATTTTGGGGGTTATCATATGGTACAAACAGTTTAGGAGTCAGTGGTCAAAAACAACATTTTTGGGTTTTTTCTCCAAAAATTTACCATTTTGACATTGATTATTTCTCATTTTTATATAAATGCAACAAATACTGATATGGCAGGAGATACACACGAAACAGGGTGTGTAAATTATTTTATCGGTAATTTGGGCATTTTTTTTTATGTGTACTGCTTGATAATGTCGACGTCAGTATCAGTGAACTGGTCATGATAAAGAAAATATATTGGGTCAGTTCGCAATTGACATGCGCGAGTGCACCCCAAAAGGATCTTCTTTCCCTTTAATTCACAAAATTGCACATGATTTTTTTCGCAGAAACGCACGAGTTATTTCATGAATGAAACACTTGTCATTGTCATGATCATGATTGTTTGAAACTTTCAGTAATAAAAAGTTAGTTTAGCCTTTTTGAACGATTCACTGATTATGTGAAAATTTGAACAGGAAATGACATGTACGATTAACCTGATAAAATTGTGTTATATCTGCAGAATTATTGATAGCTTTCCTTACTATTCACAAGGACATATAACTAACATATCGTCCATGCTATTCCGATCTGAGTTTTTATTCATACATATTCTGGCATGGCTGGTGCTGTTCCAAGTTGTCTTCTTTCTCTGCATGTTTCTTGAGAAGTATTTGTTTGACCTGGTCAGTCACTATAAAGTGTTACAATTCATATTAAGACACAACACATAAATAGTGACCAAAAAGGTACCGCTTTCACATGTATGACATGAGAGAATCTAGAAAAAAAAATCAAATGTACACATAATTTTTCAACATTTTTGTGGGACTATCATATAAAATTAAGGAGATATGTAGTTGGAGACTGCTGCTGAATAGAATTGTTCGGGCTCACCTGATACCTGTTTTCAAATTAGTCCATATTAAAGTTTGAAGGGTCCAAAATTAAAATATGTTTGATTTCAACTGACATAAAATTTTTGGTGTTTTTTATATGCTAAATCTACATCTGCGGTTGTATCAGTCTGTGCTTGGCGAAGCATTTTATTGCTTTTTTGTTTGTACTTTATTTTATTTTGGTCATGAAAATTAACTTGTAGTTGTGAAGTTGCTTATATTTTTAAAAGATGATAATTAGATAACTTCACATGGTGACAACACTGACGTTTTCGTAGATTTACTTTTTCCCGGGAATGCTTCATCTGTTGATATATTCTCATTGTGAACGATTTGTGTATATTTAAATATATTAACCAATGTAGAAAGACATGTATAATGTAAAATCATAGCAATACAAATTGTTTAGTCTCAAAGAAAACTTGTAAGATTTCCGCAGTTATTTTTGTTGAATAGGTGCAAATTGGGTATTCGGTGCAATTTGGGAACTGTGACGTTATAGCCATAAGTGTTTATTGCTTTAATAAGTTGAAATGTGCACCTGATAAAAGTATTCAGTAGAGGGAATATGTATCACTCAGACTCAAGTCTTCTTTTACAGCTGTTTTATGATTAAACTTAGAGAGTGAAAAAAAAACAGTCTCCATCTCCTTGGACTGTTTAAGGGAGCTACCTTTTGATTTTTATGGGGGGGTAGGATGAAAAATTTTGTCCTGCCTTTTTATTTTTCCCTCTTTTCGGTCCTGCCTTTTTATTTTTCACTCTATTCGATCCTGCCTTTTTTTTTGCAAATAATCTCATCCTGCCTTTTTTTTACTCAAAACTCCTGTCCTGCCTATTTTTTTCAAATTTCATCCTAGCCTCCCCATAAAAATCAAATGGTAGCTCCCTAAGATAGATATGTGTCATAATTAATGACAAGATTTGTTGAGAGTTTGTCAACGGAAGTACAGGATATTTTTGTTGTTGAAAACTTTTGTTAAGTTTTGAATTTCACCTGCATTTGTCTGTGAGCTACAGGAATAACCGTGATCACATTCAACAGTAACTGTATAACCAGAGACATATATACATGTATATATGTCTCTGGTATAACCAACTTCATTATCACTGTAACTTGATATGGGAAATTCTGTAGCAGATGAATAATAGTAGTCATGGTCAACCAGAGGCAGTGCCAGAGCACCGGATTTTACTACCTCCCGAAATTTATTGCTTGCAGAGGGTTTTTCTGTGTTCCCATGGCTGGACGGAACTTTTAAACTACAAATGTTATCATAAATTATGATATTGTGACTTTTAAATGAAGTACCTGTGGTTATTTAGGAAATTTGTCACTGATAATGGGATGAGATGAAGCAGACGATGAAACATGCATGGCGTAAGATGTTGTTGTCCAACCTTCGGTTATTTCCGTGGTACAATAGAATTTAAATAAACTACACAAGTTACTTAAATTTCTAAATTTTTGTTTTTGTAAACAAATAAAAATTCATGTCGTATTTAAATTGAATTTATTCCGTTTTGTCCCGTTTTTTCATGATCGCGATTAAACGAGAATCTGGCAGCCATTAAAAATATAAGGGTTAAACTAATGTCCTGACAATGTCCTGACGGATATTCCAATGCTAATTTCGTTTTCATTATTTGAAGAATTGACTTTATACTTGGAGCCAAGCAAGAATACAATATTTATTTAATAAATAAAAGGAAAAAAAAGAAAAAAATATTTTTAAGAGTTAGATAACTTGACTTGATCAACTTCGAAAAAAAAATTTATAAAATCGTACGAGATTTAACGAGAGTGACGAAACTTTTTAGATTGGTCATGTAGAGAGAGTTATCGTTCTTTATTCCAATTCGATGCTTCTACCATAAGTGCCAGCTAAAGCTGGCATATTAATATGAGGAAGGCGCTACCTTGAATGCCAGCATACCAAGACTATGTCCTACATATTGATTGATTGTTGGTTTGCTTAACGTCCAGTGGCAAATATTTCATGCCTGTTCAGGACGAATGTCCTACATATAGTTTTTGTCTAAAATAAAATAATAAGTTCAGATGGAAAATGTTAAGGGAACGATCATTGAACTTCAAAAGGCAGGATGGAGCATGTTTTTTTTCTTCAAAAATATTCTGATTCCCAAATTGATGAAAAAAAATATTCTAATCAAGCAGAGGACAAAAAAATATTCTGAATCCAGATTATCACCATACCTTCTAGCGTTAATTTTTGACCAAATAATTTTGATTGATAGCATTGAAGCCATTTGCGTGAAAAAAAATCATAACTCAAACAAAAAACCATACCCCCCTAACCTTTTGAAGCTAAATGGTTGCACCCTTATTGTCCATATTGTTTTCTGCTGAAAATAAATTTATTCATGATTTATCTAAATTAGGACAATGCTTAAATTCATTATATTGTGCCATTTTCAAATCCATTTTTCTTTCTTTGCAAATTTTACAAAATTTAAAACAATAAGAC